GACTGCTAACCAGAAGGCTGGCGGTTCAAACCCACCAGCCACTCCTCGGAAGGAAGGTTGGGCAATCTACTTCCATAGTGATACTGCCTCGGAAACCCAGGGAGGGGTTGCTATGAGTCGGGTCCGACTTGATAGCACATAACAACAACAACCACTCCCTAATAAACCCCGTAATCGGATTGTCTGTGAGCTCTGTGTGGCCGCTGCAACAATTACTGAACCCAGTGAGTGCTATGGGAGGGACGGCTGGGGTCAGAATTGGTAGAAAGGTTGGAGGGAGGCATGATTGAGCTCTGCCTCACAGGAATCAGCCTTGGGCTGATGGTGAGTCTCCCTCTTGTGAAGTGAGAGGAGGTCAACAACCCCATGCCGCCATTTTTATAACCAATGTTATTACCAGTGTCTTCTCTTCCACAGGTCCCCACTCCCCCTCCCCTTACCCTATTTAACCCACCACCTCTTCCCAGCCCCTCACCTGTTTGAGTACTGTGATCTTTGAGTCATTAGTGATCAGCGCCGCCTGGTTCAAGAGATCCACCACCTGGAGGGGAAGAGGCAGTCGGTAGTGCTGCCCTGCCAGCCTAGCCCCTCGACACTCCTAGGGCTCGGTGATCCAGGAAGGGCCCACCCAGGGCTGTGTCTCCCCCTCCGAACCCTTCCCTCCACACTCACCCTTTCTGAGGTGGTCATACCATCGATGCCTGCTCCCTCCTCTTGTGTGAAAAACTGAGAGGCCACGCTCCGGCGCGTGACACTGTCCCCGCTGCTGCTTGCCATGGTTGCTGTCAGGTTTTCCCTGGGGAAGAAGAGGCATAGGTCAAGCTCTGGGCCTCATCACCAACACAGGGCTCAACTCATTTTCCCAGCCGGTCCTCCCCACTCCAGACAGTGGGTATGTGTGCATGAGGGCTGTAGTCCAGGAGTGACTGGTGACACCAGCCTTCCCTGATGGACTCCCCGCTTAGAGGCAGGTCTCCAAGCTCCATCTCCAGTACTTTACATACAGTAGGCAGACCAGAACATCTGCTGAACAGACAAACGGACCACAGTGGTCACCTCGCCGGCCTCCATGGCACCTGTCTCCCTATCAGGGCTGTTGTCTGACTAGGCACCGGAGCACACTTTTGCAAACACAGGTCTGAGGAACGCCACATGGAGCCCTGCACAGTCGGTACTCGATGCATCAGAAGAGGCCTGATACACTGAGGCTGTGTTAAAGCCATTCTCCAGAATATTATGGAGCTGCTTAACCTAAAGGGGATGGGTACTTCTGGACGTGGTGGCTCAGTGACAGAATTCTCACCTTCCATGAGGGAGACGTGCGTTTGACACCTGGCCAATACATCTCATGTACGACTACCACCTGCCTGTCAGTGGAGGCGTGTGTGTTCTTACAATGCTGAAGAAGTTTGAGCAGAGTTTCCAAACTAAGACAGACTAGGAAGAAAGGGCTGGCAATCCACATCCAAAAATGAGCCCATGAAAACCCTACGGAGCACAGCAGTCTCCTCCCCAACTGCTCCTGGGCGTGGCCAGGACCAAGCAGCCTTCTGTTCCATTGGGCACGGGGCTACCATGAGTTGGAGGCCGACTGGACAGCAGTCAGCACCACCATCATCCAAAGCTACACAGGCTGAATTAGAAAATGATTAATGTAGAATGGTATCAATTACAGATCTACTTGTAACAGGAAAAGACAATAAATAACCCATGTGTTCCTAATTAGCAGGACTGGCTGAAAAAAAACAGACACTCCCACATGACAGAATATTATGCCACTGTGAAAACGAATAGGAGCTCTGGTGATGTAGTGCCTAAAGCATCTGACTGCTAACCAGAAGGATGGCGGTTCAAACCCACCAGCCACTCCTCAGAAGGAAGATGGGGCAATCTACTCTGCAGAGATACTGCCTCGGAAACCCAAGGAGGGGGTCGCCAGGAATCAGATCCTACTCAATGGCAGTGAGTTTTTAGTGAAAAGGAATAAGGGAAGAGAAAGAAAGATCTCTAGCCACTGATGGAGAGTCAAAAAACTAAACCAAACCCATTGCCATGAAGTTGATTCTGACTCAGTGATGGGGAGGAGGGAGTCTGACTCAGCAATGGGGAGGGGGCTCCTCAGTATGTCAAATAAAAAGCAGTGAAGTGAAGCAGGGTTTATTACAAGCACCCTTTTTACAAAAGCAAGAGACATACGTACATATGTATTTAAGAACAAACAAACAAACAAAACTGAAAGAATACACCAAAAAGCTCAAGTGGGAGGAAATGGTAAAAAATAAGTGTGGTGGATCTCAGTGTATCATGACGTCCAAGTAGCCTGCTGTGTCACACAACATGTGATTCACCCATTTTTATCAAGCTTCTGGGCTTGTATCTGCAGCGCAGCAACACACTTCCACGGACCTTCTAGCCAACCTTGTAATAATCCCACCCCAAGACTGGGAGGATACTATGCAAATGCAGTCCCTGTGGCCACCAAGGGGACTGGATAGCTTGCTAATAACGTAAATAAGGTGCATGGCACTCTTGTGGGGGTGGGACCATGCCAATACGGCACGTGGTACCCTAAGGAAGGGATGGATCAGTTTTGCCATCCCACTAGGCTTAGAAGAGAGCCAATTCCAAGGCAGAAGGGGGAACATGACCACCACCAAGAGGAGGAAGGAGCAGAGTATGTCCTTGGGACCTGGGGTCCCTCCTAAGATCCAGCAGACAGAGAGCTGTACCTGGAGAGAGATGGGAAGAAGGGGCCGCAGAGGCGCAGCGGCGACAGAGGCAGCAGGACCAGGAGACCAGCAGGAGACAGCAAGCCGGGGTTCCTGGCCCCGTATTAGAAGGGCAGGAGGCTTGCTGACAGAGTGGGGTGCCTCTGGGCACATGGCAGAGCGAAGTTTGCTGACCGGCGGAGCGAGAGCTAAGTGCCATCAGGATTGAGCCTCACTGCTGGAGTGGGATGCCTCTGCACACTTACTGGCAGAGCTAAGAGTTTCCAAACACCTGCCTGAGCAAGGGCAGAGGCCAACCGCTACCGTGCCTGGAGGCCAAAGGCGGGCCTGAGGGCGCTGCTGAGAAGAGGCTGTCCTGGAGAACTTCACCCTCAGTCATTTCAGACCCTCAGCCGTAACTGTGAGTGTTGTCCGTGAGTTCTGTGTGGCCACTGTAACAAAATGTCGAACCCAGTAGAGAAGCAGGAAGAGCTGGAGGGAGGGCGGCTGGAGGGTGGGGGCACGTCTGGCCTCCCCCAAATAAGCCTTGGGCTCTGATGGGGATTCTCCCTCCTGAGGCTGGAGGAGGTCACAGGATGCCGCCCTCGTCTTTTGTGCAGAGTGAAAAAGGTGCATTTTTAAAAAGGAACGTTATACCCCACACACAGTAGCCATTTGACAGATGTCTGCTGAATGAATGGCAATCCAACAGCCTCCTGCGTATGCGTACTCTCTCCCTGCTGCCTGTCACTCTGACAGCTCGTTCAAAGTCCAGCCAAAGTCCTTCCCAAGGCCTAGAAGACACTAGATGACCCCTCCTGCTCTGTCCTCACCTGCTTGTTTCCTCTTGGCTCTCCCTGCTCCAGCTGTGTTGGCCGCTTGTTCCCTGTACAGGCAAGCGCACCCCTTCCTCACAGCCTTCTCGTCCTTCCACCTGGACACCCCGCCCGACACTCCAGCCCAACTCTCTCCCTCACTGCCGCCATCCACTTTCCCTGACCACCCTATTTCAAGTTCCAACCTTCTCTCTGTCCTCACCCGTATTGCTTTATTTTTCTCCATGGCCCTTATTATCATCGACACACTACGTATGTATAAGTTCCACGACAGCAAAGATTTTCTATTTGTCGGCTCACCTTCTACATCCCCAGCATGTAGTATGGTGCTTGATACATAATAAAACCAAAACCAAACCCACTGGCACAGAGTTGATTCCGACTCACAGCACCCCTGGAAGACAGAGTAGAAGTGGCCCCCTAGGTTTCCAAGGCTGGAATCTTTACAGAAGCAGACTGCCTCCCTCATCATTCTCCCGCAGAGGGGCTGGTGGTTTTGAACCACCAACCTTTTGGTTAGCAGCCCAATGCCTTAACCACAGGGCTACCAGAGCTCCTTCAGCACACAGTAAGCACTCAGTAAGTACCTGATGAATAAATAAACCCTGCTGCCAAAGGGTCTTCTCCATCCTTGGGCTCACCATTCCTGTCCTTGTTGTTGTTGTTGTTTGCCGTCAAGTCGGCTCTGACTCATAGCGACCCCTCCTTGGGTTTCCGAGGCAGTATCACTATGGAAGTAGGATTGCCCAACCTTCCTTCTGAGGAGTAGCTGGTGGGTTTGAACCGCCAGCCTTCTGGTGAGCAGTCAAGTGCCTTAGGCACTATGCTACCAGAACTCCTATCCCTGTCCTTAGGCCCCCAAAATAACTCAAAATAACAGCCAACATTTAATGACTATTTAATAGATAATGTTGACATGTAACATTCTAAGCACTTTACATACTTTAAGGCATTTAAATGTCACAATAATAAGTCAGTTGTTATTCAGTTGATTCCAACTCACGGCAACCCTATGTGTCAAGACAAAACTGTGTCCCGTAGGGTTTTTAAACCCAAAACACCAAACTCACTGCTGTCAAGTCGGATCCGACTCATAGTGACCCTTCCTTGGGTTCCCAAGGTGGTATCTCTACAGAAGTAGATCGCCCAACCTTCCTTCCATGGAGTGGCTGGTGGGTTTGAACCGCCAGGCTTCTGGTTAGCAGTCAAGTGCTTTAGGCACTATGCCACCAGAATAGGGTTTTCAGTAGCTGATTTTTTTGGAAGCAGATCTCCAGGCCTTTTTTCCAAGGTGCGTCTGGGTGGATGCCAACCTTGGGTGAACAGCTGAGTCCATTAAACTCATTAACCTATTTCACCACCCAAGGGACTCCCTATGAGGTAGGTACTATTTCCAATCTCTATTGTACAGAGGAGCGCTGGTGGTGTAGTGGCTAAGGCATTTGGCTGCTGACCAGAAGGTCAGTGGTTCAAACCCACCACCAGAAGATGGGGCACTCTACTTCCTTAAAGATTCACCGCCCTGGAAACCCAATGGGGGATGTTATGAGTCTGAATCATCTCCATAGCAGAGTTTGCTTTTTCAGCTGGTTACTGTACAGAGGTGGAAACTTTAGGTCAGGGAGGCAAAGTCGCTTAACCAAAAGGCACACGGCTTTTAAGAGGCAGAGCCAGCAGCCCAGCTGTAGAATCCATCCTCATCACCACTATGCCCTGTTGCCTCTAGGAAAGGGAACTGTTTTTCCATCCCTAGGCCTGCTCACATACCCCAAGGGGCATGGCCACGAGTCAAGCCAGAATACTGAAGTTGCCGACGGGAATGTAATGACTTCATTGCTTCTCTCCCTTCCCCCCGCCCCCAGCCCCATGCAGGACCGTTGATGAGTCCCACCTGGGGCTCCTAGAAATAGCTTTCATTCATTCAACCGACAGTAACTGAGCGCTTCCTGTATGATCATCGCTGTACCGGGGACACAGGCGCGATCAAGACACACCAGTTCCCGGCCCTCACGGAACCCACGGTCACAGACGGAATCACACACAAATTGGGCTAATAACAAACGAGACTACATGTAACATGAAGGAAAGGAATAGGGACCTATAAAAGCGTTTAAGAGGCGGATTTTGGAGAGGAGGGCGGGAAAAGAGGGCTTCACAGGGGAAGTGACGTTGGTGCCGAGCCCTGAAAGATGAATGGGAGTTAGCCAAACAGAACGAGTAAAAGGGTACTGCGTGCAGAGCGTTCGGCATATGCAGAAACCATAAGGCGGGGAGGCGCAGGGAGAGTTTCAGGAACCGAAAGGCCAGTGCGGCTGTGCGAGGTGGGCGGGTGAGCAAAAAGGCAGAGAAGAGGCCAGCGACTTCGGCGGCGCGGGCGCGCCTCGGGGGCCACATTGGAACTTTGCCCTGAGGTCACTGGGGAGCCACGGAAGGGTCCTGAGCAGGGGTAGAGACTGGAGTCCCTAACACCACTGCCCCCCTCTCCTGCCGTGGCCCCCCAGCGCCTCCACCTCCTCAGGGGCCCTCCTCCCCTCATCCCTAGGCCCCCACATCGTCCCCCCGCTCACCGCGGCTCAGGCCTCCGGCCCCCTCGCGCCCCCTCAGCGGCACCTCTTCATAGACGCCGCTGTCGCCATCTTCCGCTCACCCACGTGACACGGCTCACGCACAGCGCCTGCAGGGCTGCTGGGAAATGGAGTCCAGACCGCCGCCCGACACCGCCTCCATCTCGTGCTGCGCGAGGGGCCCTTCTCACTTCCTCAGAGTACTCCAGGACCGCCCTTCACATGCCTTCTGGGAAATGTAGTCCGTCGGCAGAAAGGGGCGGGAAGGGAGCTAGGGGCTTCTGGGAAATAGAGTTCCCAGTTGTTCTCAGTGCCTGGACGGCTGGGGTTGGACAGTTTAGAGAATCCGGGAGGCGAAGCTTGGAGGTGATCTGTTGCCCTAGTGTAGTCCGGTCAGAGGCCCAATTCCCGCCACCTTTGGTCCTGACCCTTTCTTTACAGTCTGAAGCATTTTCAACCGTCGAAAGCCTCAATCTTCCATCCGTACATTGGGAGCGTGTTTTCGAGGACCTCTTAGGGGTCCTCATAGTGATACATCGGAAGCCCTAGACTTCACCGCGCGCTGCGCTCAGTTTCCTCCGCGGCAGCCACGCAGAGCTCCGGCTATTGGTTCTCTTTTGCCAAGGTGTTGAAACTGCTCCTCCCCGGGGTAAAAGTGCCCCAGAGTTCCACCTTGGAGACCTTTAGGGTCCGCAGCGTCTCCCACGGTTAGCTCCCTCACTCATCAGCCATCATCAGCCATCTCCTGGAGCTCTAGATCCCCCGGGATGTGGTTCCCGGCGCCTGAGGTCTAGCTCCTAGCAATCCCGCAGGGGGCGCCCCAGGCCGACTGCACCGCCCTCGGGGAGGCGGGAGGGCAGCCTGGGGCGGGCGAGGGGCGGGGGTGTCCCGGCTATAAAGCGTGGCCGCCTCCCGCGGCGCCCGGGACAGCGGGGACCCCGGGCAGTCGGAGGGCAGGCGCTGTTCGGAATCGGGCCGTTCCCGCGGAGAGAGACCCGAAGCACTCCATTCCCCCGGGACCGGAACGGGAGCGGGTGGGGGCGCAGGCCCCGGGGATGCTGAGCTCGGTGAAGATGGAGGCCCATGACCTGGCCGAGTGGAGCTACTACCCCGAGGCGGGCGAGGTGTGTGTCTTCGGGGATACCGGAGCGGAAAGTGGGGGGTAGGCACCGGGGTATGGGTTTCAATGGAGGCAGGGACCCGGCTGTGGGTGCAAATGGGGACCGGGGCATCTAATTCGGGAGCCAAGCGACTAGAGACACGGAGACCAGGTGTGCAAGTCAGGGACGGGGCCCGAGGCATGGACCCTCGGCTTAGGCAGGCCAATCCAGATGGGGACTCGAATGGGAGTTAGGAAAACAGCCAAAGGTCAGGTCATAGTGTAAATGTGAAGGCCGGGTATTGAAGACCCGAAATCGCAGGGATTAGAATGAACAAACTAAAGATAGGAATCTGAGCTCCAGAGAAGTGGGCAGAGCTGGGAGATTAGGAAATGAGGTGCAAAGTTGGGGGAAGGATGAAGAGCTGGGGGGAGGGAGAAACCATTGAGGGAGGTCTGAGGTGGAAGCAAGGACCCCTGGTGGGGCCGCACTTAAACGCTCAGCTATGGCTGCTAACTGAAAAGTCTGCAGTTTGAACCCACCAGTCGCTCAGTGAGAGAAAAGACTTGGTTGGTGACTGCAGCCTTGGAAACGCTTTTGGGCAGTTCTGCCCCGTCCTATAGACTCGCTGTGAGTCTGAATGACCTAGATGGCAGTGGCTTTTGCGTTTTGGAGGTGGGAGCTCAGGGTTGGAATACCGTGCTTAAAGTTAGGGGGCCTTGGGTAGAAAAAGGAATGGGGGTTCAAGGATGAGGATCAAAGTGGCGGTCTAAAACAGGGCCAGGATGGGGGTGCTCAGAGATGAAGGAAGCTTCGTTTTGGGGGTCTGAAATAACAGGTTAGAATCGGGGCTCACATAGATGGGGAACCCGAATGGGGTCGGAGTTGGGGCCCTGGGAGCAGGAGATGTGAATTTTCCAACCCCTCCCAGCTGAACTTTCATGGTTTAACTGCTATTCGAGGCCCTCAACAGGGATTCCCCTCTTTGGGGAAGGAGAGGGGTTTCAACTGATCCCCGCCCCCCAGCAATCTCTAACAATTGCTAATGCCCTTCTCATCCAGTCTGATTTTAGACAAAGTCTTTCTGGATTTGGGGGTAGAGGTTTGTCCTAATTCCCTCAGGCTGGAAGACAGGAAGGAAGCCCTTCTGCAAGTCTAACTCCCATTCCTCTCACTGCAAGAATTCCTACTCCTTCATTTACTCACTCTACAGTCCACATTGTGAGGCCTGGGGGAAGGGGGTCCTAGTGGAAGAGTTAAGTGGGGAATCTGGGCCCTTGGGTTTCTAACCTGGAAGGAGACTGCGGGCTTGAGGTGGGAGTGAGAGGCAGGATTGCCTGAGTTGTTCATGGAGACTGAGCTCTGAGAGTTAGGTGGGCCCCAGCATGCCTAAGTCCTGGGTCTGGGGTTTGAAGCTCATAGGGTGGGTCTCCTGGATCCCCAGCCTGTGGGGCCTGGCAGGGTGCCTGGGAGGGGCCAGTCCCGGGCCATGGAGGTGTGAGGTGCACGTGAGGTGGGACAGGGCCAGCTGGGGAAGGGGTTGGGAGTGTTAAGAGGTGGAGGCGGGGTGGCTGGATGTGTCAGCAGAGTGATGGGAAAAATGAAGACCAGGGTGGGAAATGGAGGTGCCCAGGTAGTGGGGGGGGGTGGATTCCAGCTGAATCCCTGGTGAGCTTAGCGTCTAGGCACGTGGTTTAGGAGAACCATCTGCAAATAAGTGTTTTGGGAGCACATCTTACGAAGTAAATGTGGGGTGCTGTGCTGGAGGAGTCAATATTTAGAGTATAGTCTGGATGGATCCAAGTGTAGGGGCACAATTTATCCACGCAAATTAGTCTAGATAACTCAGAAATTGAGGCACAGTCCAGAGGTGCTAAACATTTGGGACAATTTGGGGGCATCTCTTGGAAGAGCCCACAGATTGGGGCGGGAAATAGTGTGAAGGACACTGACTGAGAGTCTCCCCAGCCTTCCCAGCAGATAAACCCATGTCCTTCCCTCTGGGCCCAAACCATGGGGACAGAAACTTACACGCACCCAGCATCCAAGAAGGGCCCCAAACCACTTCTTCCTGCTGAGGTAATGTTGACTCCCCAAAGCTGGCCCCCCGTCAAGAGAGAACTGGGAAAGCTGTCACCTCTGGGCCTCTAGTTCTTACACAGCAGCTGATCCATGGCTCCCCCATTTTAGAGATGGAAAAACTGATGTCTGGTAGCATAGTGCCTAAGGCACTTGACTGCTAACCAGAAGACACCAGCCACTCCTAGGAAGGAAGATGGGTCAATCTACTTCTGTAGTGATACTGCCTCAGCAACCCATGGAGGGGTCGCTATGAGTGGAGTCCGACTGGACGGCACACAACAACAGTGTGGTGTTGGCAGTTCTTCAAGGCCCAGGGCTGGGCCCGGGGCTAGACACTAGGCTTCTAGCTTTGTTCTGCCTCCCTTCTGCTCCCGTCACACCCTCCCTCAGAAACAATAAGGAAATGAAAGGGAAGAAATTCTAGCCTCCTGCAGTGGGGGTGCAGGTCCCCTGAGGGCTTGCCCCCAATCTCAGCCCCACCCTGGTGGGGGAGATCCGGCTTAGACCCGGACACCCGCGCTTAGACCCGGACACCGGGCTTCATCTCAGCCCCAGGGCGTGGGAAAGCCTAGGGTGGATTAGGGCAGCTGGAGTGCTTGAGGTTAGACCTCAAGGAGGACTTCCTGGTGGGTGGAGAGCCATAAGGAAAGGGCCTGGGGTCTCACTCCATCTTACTCTGCTATACAAAAGCCTAGCTGAGTTACAGCTGAGGGTGGGGGGGGGTGGACAGGAGGACTTAGGAATCCCTTCCTGGCTATCTCTGGATCCCACTGGATGAATATTGCCTCCCTTCATCTCAGAAGGACCCTCATTCCTTCTGGGGAGGGGCAGAACCAGCCTACCAGGGGGAGACCAGTGGATGGAAGAGGGGAGGGACTCTACTTCCGGCCCAGTGTTGAACTTCTGGGGCGTTGGTGATGGTGAGGGAAGGAGACAGATACTAAGATGTACTGAACGAGAAAGACTGGAGATGGAGGGACGGAGAGAGACGACGGGGGAGGGATGGGAGAGATGGGGGAGGGGTGGGGAGAGGAGCAGACAGGAGAAGAGAGATGGGGTTGGGGAGGTGAGGTGGAGAGGAAGGTGAAGAAAGGGAGAAATAGAGGGAAGAGACGGGGGGGTGAAAGATGGGAACGAGAGACATGCCCCTGGAGAGGGAGAACGGGCTAGGGAGTTGGGAGGAGAAAGAAGACGGAGAACCATGGAGATGGAGACGTGAGGGGTGAGGGCTTAGAGGTGCTGAGTCAGGGAAAGAGACAGACAGACACACACAGTGATGGAAGAAACAACAGAGACCTCCAAAGACACGAGAGAAGAGAGGTACCCGCAGAGACTAGCGAAGGAGCTCTGACGGCGTACTGGTTAGAGAACTCAGCTGCTAACCAAAAGATGGGCAGTTCAAACCCACCCAAGAACTCTGCCGGAGAAGGCTGGGGTAGTCTGCTTCCATAAAGGTTACAGTCTTGGAAACCCTATGGGCCGGTTCTACTCTGCCCTAAAGGGTTGCTGTGAGTCCAAACCGACTCCATGGCACTGGGTTTGTGTGTGTGTGTGTTGGAGATGTGAAGAGACTACCCAAGGAGCAAGGGAAGGATATCTCAAGTGGGACTCAGACCTGGGATCGGTTGCCACCTGTCCCTAACTCCCTGAGTGGCCACGGGCAAGTTCCTTTTCTCTCCGGACTTCGGGATGCGCAGGCGCTTACAGTGCAGCTTGGGGATGAGATGGGACCCGCTGACCCACCCCGAAGGTGGCTCCACCCAGAGGAATGGCAGCTCCCCCAGTGTCATGGGGGCCCAGCTGGGAATGGGGACACTGCCCTCCTGGTCTCCCTGGAGGGGGGGGGTGTCAGGGCGGATAGAGATGTGGAAGGAAAGAGGACGGGAATGGAACATACCGAACGAGAGACCATCCCCCAAGCTGCTGCCATTAAGTCAAGCTGCGTGATGATAGCCCCTGCACGTGTCAGAGTAGAACGGCGCTCCTTAGGGTTTTCAGTGGTTGACTTTCAGAAGGGGATTGCCAGCCCTTTCTTCCAAGGCACCCCTGGTGGACTCGATCCTCCCACCTTCAGATGAGCAGTTGAGTGTGTTAACCATTTACACCACTCAGGGACTGCTAAGCCATCTTGGTTCTTGTGTGCCTTTGACTCGATTCCAACCCACAGCGACCCTGAAGAACAGAATGCAGTAGCCCCCTCGGGTTTCCCAGGCTATCACGTTGACAGGAGCTGATCGTCACCTCTCTCTTCCGTGGGGCAGCTGGTGGATTCAATCCACCAACCTTTCAGGTAGCAGCAGAGCGCTGACCATTGCACCACCAGGGCGCCTTCCTCCACCACCTCCCATGCCTTAGATATCCCTTGTTTATCTAACTTCCTCTTGGGTTCTGATAACATGACTCAGAACACGGGTTCTGGAGCCAGACCGCCTCATTCAGCATCCCATTTTCACCCCGGACGGTCTGTGTGGCCCTGAACCATTGCTCTGGGCCTCAGCTTCCCCAGCAATAAAATGGGCACCATAGTAGCACCTCCACCGCGGTGTGGCTGTAAGGGTTAAAGGAGACAGTTCCCATGAAGCACCTGGCACAGCGACATTTGTTGAATTTATGAAAGAATATAAGCCCGTAGCCCCACAGTCAGCGCTGAGTCATGGCAACCCCGTGTGTGTCAGAATAAAAGAGTCCTCTGAGGATTGTCCGTGGCTGGTTTCTCAGAAGGAGATGGACAGGGTTGTCTTGGGAGGTGCCTGGGGGTAGATTCGAACCTCCAACCCTTTGTAGTAGCTGAGCCCTTAACCATCTGCACCACGCAGAGACTCCGTCAAGAGAGAGGCTTATTTAGAGAGACGTGGGGATGGGTAGTCCATTTCATTGAGCTAAGATGCAGATGTTTTTCCCATTTGAACACTTCTGAGAATGGAATGTGTTTTACAGTTGATGTGGCTAACATTTAGAATTGATGGTGGCCTTCTCTTGTTCGGATTGATAGATAGAGGCGCTCTGGTGGCACACTGGGTAAGCACTTGGTTGCGAACTGAAAAGTGGTGGTTTGAATCTACCAGCAGCTCCACAGAAGAAAAGACCTGGCAGTCTGCTTCTGTCAAAATGACAGCCTAGGAAGCCCTATGGGCCAGTTGTACTCCATGACAGAGGGTGGCTGTGAGTCAAAATGGAGTGAGGGCAAGGGATGTTGTTACATAAAAGAACACTGCAGCTCACAAATGGGATGTCTTAGATTTGGTGATAGATAGATACTATGTTTCTAAACTCCAAACTCACTTCCATCAAGTTGATTCCGACTCAGAGGACCCCACTGGGTTTCTGAGGTGGTAAATCTTTACGGAAGTGGGTTGCCCCATCTTCCTTCCACAAAGCAGCTGGTGGATTTGAACCACGGACCTTCTGGTTCACAGCTAAATGCCTTATCCACTGCTGCGTCACCAGAGCTCCTTAGAAATCATGTTGAAACACATGAATTTGTCAGTCAAAAGCTTTTGACCTGAAAAAGTAATTTTACAACCTAGAAGGTTGAATAAAAAGAAAAAACCTCACTGCCATTGAGTCATTTCTGACTCACAGCAACTGCCATTTTGGTTTCTGAGGCTGTAAATTTTTATGGAAGCAGATCACCCCATCTCCCTTCCACAGAACAGCTGATAGATTTGAACTGCTGACCTTCCGGCTAGCAGTCAAGTGCCTTATCCACTATAACCACCAGAGCTCCTAAAAGGTTGATAAACATATATATATACATGATTATTAAATAGATTAGGAGCTCTGCTAAGGCACTTGACTGCTAACCAGAAGGCTGGCAGTTCAAACCCACCAGCCACTCCTCGGAGGGAAGGTTAGGCAACCTATTTCCATAGGATACTGCCTCAGAAATCCAAGGAGGGGTCGCTATAAGTCAGGTCTGACTTGATGGCACATAACAACAACATTAAAGAGGTTGGAAGTTCACATTTTCTGGGTTACAGGGCCCCTTCACACTCTTAAAAATTATCGAGGATCTCAAAGTATTTTTGTTGATGGAGATTATGTATGTTGCTACAGGTAGGCCCCGACTTACAACATATTCGAGTTACGACAAACCACACTTAGAACCATCCATTTTTTGGAGTCTTTCGGTACGTTTTATCATTAGGAATGGGAGAAAGATGAGGCAGTCGGCTTCCGTACAGGTGGACAGCCTTGGAAACCCCATGGGCATTTCTGCTCTGTCCTACAGGGTCCCCACGAGTTGGAGTCGACTCAAATGCAGTGGGTTTGGGTGGATTATTTTGAGTGATAGGTGCTACTTACAATGTTGCAAAGTGTAATTTGCCAATGTCCTCATATCTATGAGTTTATATATCATGTTTCCAACCCCCAAAGACAAGTAAAGATTGGATTTGAAAGGATACTGTTAATGAAAGGCAATAATAATAAACTAAAAAAAGAGAGAGGTATTCAATTTAATGTTAGAACCAACTTACAACAGAGTCGTTGGAAAGGACCTGTCGTAAGTCAAGCAGTACCTGTGTGTATACCCTGTTAGAAATTAAAACTGAGAACATTTAAAAATATGTATTAATTTTCATTTTTAAGTAGCAATAATTTGTTAGTATAAATAACATGTTTTTATTAAAATAATGATATTTCCAAAAACTGTAGGAAGAAGAGTGTTTAGGGTTTTACCAATCTCTAATATCCTCTGGTGACCTAGTGCCTAAGGCATCTGACTGCTAACCAGAAGGCTGGTGGTTCAAACCCACCAGCCACTCCTCGGAGGGAAGGTTGGGCAATCTACTTCCGCAGTGATACCGCCTCGGAAACCCAAGGAGGGGTCGCCATGAGTCAGGTCCGACTCGATGGTAGTGTGTTTGGTTTTGTTTAATGTCCAGCTCAGTAGAAGATGCTGGAGTCTCAT